CAGGTGGGGGTTATCCCAGTATCCTCTGGGTCCATGCAAACCTACACCAGCCAATACGCCTACCACTAAAGCGAAGCCGAAACAAACTGCTCCCCGACGATCCAATATGGCGGACGCAACTCTTATAGACTCACATGGAGTAAACTCAACCCAGGGAGATCGTTGACTTACAGTTGAGGCTTGATGAGTTCTTCTGGTGATTTTGGCGGACTCTGGAGCAGCACGTCGCTGCAACTCAATCTAAGCCTGATATGGATGACCGGACACATGTGAAGCTGGTGGTGCCTCCTCAGGGCAAATCACCCAAGAGAAAACCTACACAACATACTGCCCACCTGCCTGGGCCGAGAGCCATACGAGACTTAACCGCCTTACATTGTCCACGCTGGCGGAAGATTACTCGCACAAAGCGGAGAGTACCACCGCAATCCTCCGTCCTATAGAGGGGATATATGTGGACTGTAAAAGTTACTGGGTCTGTGTTTTAAAGATGATTGCCCTCATGCAGGCTCATGGCAGGAGGCACACCCAGCTACAGTACACAACCCTCCCTGGCTGTGAAAAGGCATTGCCACTCAAGGGAATCGGCTGATCTAACCTGGGGGACTGCTGCCTTAGCTGTTTGTATCCGACGGTAGCGGACAACATGTTAAGCTTTTTCTCACCCCAGAGGCAATTGCAACTTTAATGATTTAATCTCATGGTCAGTCTATATAACCTATGTTAATACTAATGTGTGCATTTGCTCACTGATTTATCTATTATAAATGTGTATATTATACCAAACGCTGTGCAGTTTCACATATGCCATTATTTTGTCCCCTGCGCATATTGGCCTGTCTTTCCTATAGTTGCACCACATGTCCTTCATTAATTACTTATTGTTCACATGTCTCGCGAGATATGCTTTTCTACGAATGTCTTCAATTTACCTAGCCGTGGGACATGCCTTACTAGCCCAATACTCGTGCTTGAAATAATATAAAAATTGTGCAATTTCTCTCTATGTCATGACACTGCATGTTTTGTGATGTACTGCTGTTGTGGCTATGTAAGCCTGATTGTTATCGCATGCAATGCTAAAATAAAAAAAAAGAAAAAAAAAAAGAAAGAAATGAACAAAGAGAAATAAAATGAGGTTTAAATGGTAAGGATGAGATGAGAGTAAAGTAAATGTAATTGTGTAGAGTAAAGGTGTGACATAACACCCTATTCTGTATGACTCTGTTATCTAACGGAATAAGGTCCAACTAGGGCAATTCATGGGCAAAGAGCTGGGATTGGAGTAATTACTAAATATCTGTGATTATTGTACTGGATGTCGCTTATTATTGGACAATGCTTCAGGATGACATTCTATTTTTTATTTTATTTTTTCAGAACAAAAAGAAAAGAGCTACATCCAACCCACCATGTGACTGTAGATGTTGTTATCTCAAAAATAATAAGTGTCGCAGGAGACCAGGGTGCGGGGGCTCAATCGAAGGCCTTGATATAAATATATAAGATTATAAGAAAAACTTATCTGTATCGGCTCAGTGTATATATTGATACACTCCTGTTATTACTTAAATAAAAACACAGCATTTGACATCTTATGTCCTATTCAAAATAAAGTATATTTATTGCTACAAACACATTACCACAGACAGCGAGGGGTTCAGGACAGATCTTCATAGAGACCATGACAGAGAGAGTGGAATAGAACAAATAGCCCAAAACTCAATTAATATACAGGATTAAAGAAAGAGTGACGAACAGGGGTGTAACTAGGAATCACAGGGCCTCGGTGCAAGAATCAAAGAAGGACCCTCCTCTTCGACACTCCTGGCTGCCCCCTAAGAAAGACACCTGATTGGGATGTGTGTACTGGCTGTGTGTGATTATACAGGGATGGCTGAGTGTGATTGTGTGTTGGGCTGGGTGTGGAATTGGTTGAGTGTCTGTCTGTATGTCTTGCTGACTGAATGTGATATTGCTTTGATGGCTGGCTGAGTGTGATTGTGTGTGAAGTTGGCTGAGTGTGATTGTGTGTGGAGTTGGCTGAGTGTGATTGTAAGGGGTTCACTTCAAACTCTAAGTCAAACTAAATATACAAAAAGGAACCACGATTCAAGGGAATTTCCAGGACCTGGTGATTAAGAGGAGAAAAAACTTATAGAAAGGTAAACAAAATAATAACCTAGAACTAATACTCATAGATAGTGATGCTAAAAGGTTATTGGTTAATAAATTGTCCTTATTAAGTGAAACATAAGAAGAACAACCCTAACGCTATAAGGAATTTTCTCCACTAAGACATCATTTAAAAAATCTTTTATAAGAATGTCCATAAAATCTACAGACAGGACAAACAATCTTTTCGAAACACACAGTCCACTTGGGAATGTTACTGGTTGGCGAACGATGGTCACAGTCTTTATTAGTAAGCTTGCAGCCACAATGCTGGATCCACATTGCAGCAATTGCTGAAATCGCAATGTCTCTGAATGACAAATGCAGAATAAATAACGGTTCAGGAACTACGGGATAACAGAAATAGCAGCTTTATTGGGGCAAAAGCATCAACGTTTCAACCCTGCCGGGTCTTTATCAAGCTTGAACCGCTATTTATTCTGCACATCTTGGAAGGGAGGCCTGGCCGGCCCTAGCTTCAGAACACCTGGGTTATATGGTAAGTGCGGTATCCAGTGCATCTCTGAATAACAAATTGCAGGATACAATGTAACAGCAGGGATAAAGGGACTTCTGCGACCCGTGGAGCTGGAGACTCTGCATGGGAGCTGTAATAGTACCAGAATAGGGTCCGCATGTGAAAACACAGTAAAAATACTAGTACAGGGATGCTTCTGTTCCACTTTGGCTTATGGGCCACTAAAATAGGTCCTTGGGTGCCCAGATACAGCAAATCTGCAACATAAAATACATCAGAGCCATCACACTTTATTAGAACATTAAACACAGGTATAAAACTGTTCACAGATTGTCCAAGTTTATAAAGAACGTCAAACAGATTCAGACCAATTAGCGTTTATCACCTCTCAACACCTTCACTATTGCCGCTTGGAGGGAGATTGGGACACAGTTGCTGTAATTCGCCCCAAGCTCAGTCGCCTTGAGCGTTCCACCGCTAACCGCTCTGCGTTCCACCATGCTTACTTTTCTGAACTTTGCGTCTGGATGCAGCCTTGCACATTTCATGACGCTTCAATCACGTCATCAGAGGCAATCCTCATATCTACGAAGCTGGGTTTTAAAGCCCATAGTCTCTGAACGCTCCAGGCTATTAGCCCTTAAAAGTCCTGAATATTGTGGCTTAATGTGTATTAATCTGTTATACTAGAAAAACATTAATTACTCCAATTTGTTACAAAATATCAAACTAAGCACCTATTATATACATAAGATATTACACATAAATCCTTAGGATATTAACCCTACTGGTGAATTATAACAACAGGACCCCTGATCAGTGCTGGGAGGAAGGGGGTACAAGTCACTTCCTCCAAGCCTACCAAAGAGCTGTGGGGGACAGAGGGGAGGACCAGAGAGGAGGAAGCCTGACGTCTGGACCCGACTCCCATCACACCCAGTCAGATGTGTTAGCTGTGTGTCAGTATGTCTATCTGTTTGTGTATCTGTATATGTATCTGTGTGTCAATGTCTGCCCCTGTGTGCCTTTGTGTGTCATTGTGTGTGACTCTGTATCTCTGTATCATTGGAGCAAATACAAGACAGGGGGGATATGATAGAAACATTTCAATATATAAAGGGAATCAACACAGTAAAGGAGGAGACTATATTTAAAAGAAGAAAAACTACCACAACAAGAGGACATAGTCTTAAATTAGAGGGACAAAGGTTTAAAAATAATATCAGGAAGTATTACTTTACTGAGAGGGTAGTGGATGCATGGAATAGCCTTCCAGCTGAAGTGGTAGAGGTTAACACAGTAAAGGAGTTTAAGCATGCGTGGGATAGGCATAAGGCTATCCTAACTATAAGATAAGGCCAGGGACTAATGAAAGTATTTAGAAAATTTGGCAGACTAGATAGGATGGAATGCATTTATCCATAATTATTATTACTGGGTGTAATTCTCATTTATTTGCTTACTGGAGGAAAATGATATTGTGTTACCTATACTGTAAAGCATGAGGTAGAAGCAAGAAGACGATTATAAGCCGGTGCACAGGTCCACTGCCTCCCCACCACTAGACAACAGGGAAAGTTTAGCTTTCTCTTCTCAACCCTAGTGCAGCCAGAGGAATACTTTAGGGCAGGAGAGGAAGGTTTAAACATGGGAATAAGTGAATAATATATGAATAAGTGTGTAATTATGTGTAACTGTACATGTCTCTGCATGTGGGTCTATATATCTGAGTGTGTGTGTGAGTGTGTGTGTGTGTGTGTGTGTATGTTTTAATTTGACCGTGTGTGATTGGGTTTCTATGTTTGTGAACATAGCCACGTTATTATATATTTTATTTTATTTTATTTTAAATTCTTTATTTTTGCAGTGCAAAGAAAAACATACACGCTTATGGATATATGACTACAAAGATACTGCACTGTTTTGTTTTTTTTGGTAACATGCAAAGAAGGCACATATTAGGGTTGGAGATCACAATAACAACATATTAGAAATGTTAGGTGAGTAAGACATAAAATGATAAGCACAGTCAATGGAAACACAGCACAGTATACTGGGAGTATGGGCTATAATAAGACAAATGGACAACTATTTATGAGCAATAGACTATCAGCCAATTCCCCTTTAATTAACAACCTAACTCACAGAATTCAATTCCAGCTTTAATGCAGAATTCATGAGCTACACGTTTCCCAGCACTGGCTGTTTGTGGGTTATTTCTTAAGCACAGTTTACTGCAATATATTGCAACAACTAAACAACAAAAACACTCACAAAAATAGCCAATTGTTGCAAACTATATAAACGCCGCCCTGGGCTGTGTGTCCTGGAGAATGAATCACTGACCATGGACGGCTTTCTGAAGGTTATCCTTACACTTGGGGTGAGCTCAGTGGTAACCACTGCTTATCTACCCACAATTCCTGAGACTAATCAGAACATATCAGCCCTGGCAATAGCCTGCACTGACTACTACAACAATGGATCCAGTGAGGACTCAATCTTCCAGCTAGATGGCACCGAACATGGAACATTAATAGTAAGTATCGTGACTGGTCTATAGTATACACTGCACCATACAATATACTAATGCTGTAACAAAGTAACAGAGACAAATAGGAAGAGACAGAGACAGGGACAACACATGAACAAATAAAGACACAGATAGCGAGAACAGACCAAGAAATTGTCACCAATAGCAAAGACAGTCAGAAAAGGCAACGACAGACAGTGACACAGATAGCGAGTACAGACAGATATGTAACTAGATAAACAGACAGATATTGAATGATAGATTATATCCATTATATAATAATATTATAGAATAACCATTATCATTACATGTGACCTGCGTCCAGATTCTTCATTTATTTCATGAATAGGACAAAGATCCGACCTTCCAACAGCTCACTTTCATAATAAAGGAGACACGGTGTAAGAAATCAGAGGAAAACATCAACAAGCCGTGTGCTTTCAAAGAGGACGGAGTAAGTTACCTGCTCTTATTATCAACACTAACTCTGTGTATTATAACATAACTATAACATGTAAAACACTGGGACTGAACGAAGGTGGAGGAAATATTAATGTAGATAAATCCACCATTTGGAGACAGAGTTAAACATATACAAAGCAAACAATGTTTATACAGATATATATTTTATTTAAAATATTATAAAAATATAGGAATAGCAAATTGCACTTTAACCATAAAGTGAGGAGAATGAAATAACTAAATATGGCAAAATAATCTTAAAAGGGGAAACTGTCACTTCGCCTTCACAATGCTCACGTATCCCTATATTAGATAAATACGCATATGTGAATTGTGATAAATAAGATATTACAAGATCCTAATTTCATCTATTTTACATAGAACATTGAAAATATAAATAAAGTTATCAAGTTGTAGGTGATTTTCAATGTATTCTTCAATCTTCTCAATTGATGGATCCCATTTAAGTATAAAAAGAATTACATTTAAAACTAAAATAGCCTTAAAGTAGATAAATAGAAATATAGATAATTTGAACATTGTATTTATGTTTGAATGATAGGTTTTCTATAATTATGAAAATAGGTTGTTAAAAGGCATTCCCAAATACAAATATACAAAATGTAAAACTCCCATTACCCCTGGGCGGCAGCAGTGACTATAGTAAATATCAGCCCCAATACCTACAAGAAAAAAAACTACTTGTGCTCTATCCAAATCCCTGCGCACATTTAAATAACTGGAGGTATTTCAGTATCACTCCAATGGCCGTTAGAGTGTAAGCTCAACTGCCATGTCAAGGAAATCAAGGAAAGGTTTGTCCTACACCAAGGTAGAGGGATTTGGGTCCTAAATATGGACATTTGGGATGTATGATATTGTGTGATCTATCTCCAAGTGTTCATTGTAAATCAGGAACTGGTGTATGAGGGTAACAACTGATACATTTATTGTGTACAAACACAGCTACGGGAATAAAAGCAATGTAGCTTTAAATGGAGGTGTTTGGGGATATTTGAAATATTTTTGAAATGTTGAGCCATGTGTTCTGAATGGATTCACTCATAACATTGATATTTCATTTGTCAACTGACTCTTCATTTAATTTCTATGAGATTGCTTCTATATCTGTAATTTTCACCTGGTATATAAAGAAATAAAGTATAAAGTAAAAAAAAAAACAAGAAAAGGAATTGGAAATTGGTCTAGATAATAATTCTTGTTTTGGGGTAGAACATTGGTTTAAAAATAGAGTACAGAGAGTTGTCATTACTGGTACATTTTAAGGCTGGACAGAGGTGGTAAGTGGTGTCTCTCAGGGTTCTGTTTTGGGACCCATTCTATTTAACATATTTATAAATGATCTTGAAATAGGCATTGAAAGTCATGTTTTCTTGTTTACAGATGACACAAAACTTTGTAAAGTAATAAAATGTGAGCAGGATATTGCTTTGCTGCAGAGGGATTTGGATAGACTGGGGGACTGGGCACTAAAATGGCAGATGAAATTTAATGTAGAGAAATGCAAAGTTATGCACTTCGGGGTAAAGAAAGCACAAGCAACTTACACCCTAAATGGTAGTGAATTAGGGATAACAACACACGAGAAGGATTTGGGAATTGTTATAGACAACAACATAGACAACGATATGCAATGCCAATCTGCCGTGGCTAAGGCCAGTAAGGTTTTGTTATGTATAAAAAAGGGCATTCATTCTCGGGATGAGAATATCATTTTGCCTCTTTATAAATCGCTGATAAGACCACACCTTGAATATGCTGTGCAATTTTGGGAACCTGTTCTAAAGAAGGATATTATGGCACTAGAAAAAGTGCAGAGACAGGCTACAAAATTAATAAAAGGAATGGAACATATCGGCTATGAAGAAAGGTTAACAAATTTAAACCTCTTTAGTTTAGAAAAACGTTGCCTGAGAGGGGATATGATAACATTATACAAATATATTCGGGGCCAATACAAACCATTGTGTGGAAATCTATTCAGAAACCGGACTTTACATAGGACACGAGGTCACACATTAAAACTGGAGAAGAGAAGGTTTAGTCTAAGGCAAAGGAAAGGGCAATAAGGATGTGAGATTCTCTGCCTGAAGAAGAGCCTGTACAGATGTTCAAACAGCTACTAGATGCATACTTGCAAAAACAGAATATTCAAGGATATAATCTTTCAATGTAGGGTAATAACTGCTTGATCCAAGGATAAATCTGGCTGCCATTCTGGAGTCAAGAAGGAATTTTTTTCCTAGTTTGCTGCAAAATTACCGTAGTTTTATTCTGTCTTTTTTTTTTTAAATCAACAACAAAAAACAGATGTGAGGAAGGCTAATCTTGATGGACACGTGTCTCCTTTCAGGCTATATAACTATATAACTATGTAAAACATAACAGGAAACACACTGTCCCAAATCATCCTATTAGAAAGCTCTTCATGTCTCAGTGCCTGCCCTGTCCTTGTATTTACTGTGTTATAACTGTGTCTCCAACATAGGTGGTAAAGCAATGCACAGCATCCATTTTCCCTGGAGACGGAGAGAGGAAAATTCTCGTTACCTGCGACACTTTGTATCAAAACGTACGTTTCTCTGTTACATAAAGCGAAGTATAATTAGGATGATTGGAGCTTGGTTTAACCCCTTAAGGACACATGACATGTGTGACATGTCATGATTCCCTTTTATTCCAAAGTTTGGTCCTAAAGGGGTTAAAGACTATACAATTTACATTATGGATACTGGAAAAGGTGAGATTAAGTTACCTGAACCTGACCCTCATGGGCCTCGCCATCTTATTTCGGCGGTCCTCTTCAGCTCCTGGTGATTCAGTGGCAGGAACCGACGTCACTACTGTACTCTTGGACATGTGCGACAGTATAGCATTGAGGACTTTGAAGTATCATGTGAGACTGCTGGATACTTCATAGAGAGAGCCAATTCCCTGCAGCTGTCTCTTTTGCCGGCTGTCAGGATTAAAACTGTAGCTTTGCCCAAAATCAGACGGCGGAAATATACAGAGACAAACTAGTCCCTACGTTGTCTCGGTATATCACTTGAGTAGGTTGTAATTTCAGTAAAATTCAGTGAGATTCTATCTTTATGAAATGTTAATTTCCCAGGGGCGTTAGGGGAGAGTGACAGTGCAGCTTTAAAATTACACTCAGCAGCCCAAATTAAAAATAGATTTAAAAAAAATAAATCACTGTTTAGTAGATATGTCCTAAATGAAGACATACATGCATTTAATTATGCATTTTTGCATGGGGGGGTGTCTAAAAACAGCTTGCAAAACCTGCAGTTCTCTTGTCTGCAGCCTTTGCAACCCTCCCCTTCTAACCCCACCCATACTTTCTGTGGCTGTCCAATCACAGATTTTCCCCAATGCAGCTCAATAAGAAGTCTTTGCAAGGCAGGAGCACCGAGTAATTGCTGCCTATTAAGTTTTGCTCCACTGAGCTAACCAAACCAGGAAGTAACAGGACCTGTCATCTGAGTGACAGCCAGAGGGTGTAATCAGATTAATTTATAAAAGTGCTAATTTCGATTGAAAGCTGCACTTTTTACATAATGAATAATAGAGGACACACTCTTCACACACATATAGCTTTTCAGAAAGCTAAAGTGCTTTAGAGGTGTGGATTGTCACATTTTTTTTTAAAAATCTACTTGTCCAAGGGACAAAGCGATAGTGCAATCTACTTGTCCCGACACAAATTAATTTAAATTACAAATATTGGAGCCCCTGCCAAGAGCCCTGGATATTGACAGGGGTGTTTGTAATTCTGAATTTTTACAAATTAATGTGTTTATTTTACCACAGTTTTCCTCTTTCTGTTTAAATTTACCCATACATTTTATGTATCATGTTTTAAAGGAGAAATGGGACTTTCTTTTGATATCCTACATGTATACATAATAAAATATTAAATAGCAAAAAAATACTAAAGAATGGGAATAAATTAAATAAACAAACCGTAGGTTTTACATCTAATAATTTCTACACACCAAGTGCAAGTAAAGAAAATTAACTAAATAGATTCACTAATTAATCCTGTTTCTTAAAATGCCCAAATTAACTTTTAGAAGTTCTCTAACAAATACTGCAAGGAGTGAATTAAGGTTTGGTATGCAGACGTTACAACTTTTATAGCAATCACAGAATCCAAAACTGCTAAACTAAAGTTTATATTTGTAGAAAATACATCCCTCAGGATATATACGTAGTGCCAAAGAGAACAAGCAGAGTAAGAGATCTAAAAAGTACCAGGTAGTAAAAAGTCTTAAAAGTAGTAAAAATCCATCTTCCACTATTAGTAAAGTGCTCTTTGGACAGAGCGCATTCAGACAGAGCTACCTTTGCTCTACAAATTACGACCACATAAAGATTCCTTGGTGGGGATTATACCACCCACGTTTAATACAGAGAGCGGTCAGTCTGCTCCATCTATTGTTAGTATATTTCTACAATTTGCATGTTATACTTCCCACGGTAGAGAACACTATTGGCCTTTTTCTTGATATTTTACATGTTCCACTCCATCATCATTCTGCTGTGAACCATTACCTGAAGAATATCCTGCAAGTGGGGATATAATAACAAAATCAGTATAACGAAGGTACATACAAATTAAGAAATAAAATATAATTAAAGTAGGGGCAGCTACATACAGAGATAAGCGACTAAATGAGCAGTGAACTCAAAATAAACAGAATGGTATGAGCGCTCCTAATTACCAAACATAAACAAAATAAAAATGAATATAAATCTTTTAATAATTACCAGATTTAAAAAACACTCATAAGATAATATCAAGCTGTTTCACATCCTCATATGTAAAAATTATAAATTCCGCTTGACATTCATACAAGAAGATTAACAACTGATATACTAAGTAGCAGATATATCAAGGATAAAAAGCATAAAAAACATAAACAATATACATAACAAATAAAAATAAAAATAAAAAGTATCTGACCTCGGTGTGAGCCCCCACCAGAGGTAAAAACTAAATAGAATCCAAAAGACAAGGGTAATCAGAAAATCCCAAATGCCACCTAGATGGATCGGTAATGGAGGGCAGCCGAGAGCACCTAATTCGGAACAAACCTACGCCTTAATACCGTGGTCGGGGTCTTCAAAAAAGACCACGGTAATAATTAGATGATACTGAAATAAGGGCGTAGGGAGATGCATACAGAACAACGCTGCCCAGAATGTAGATGCCCTTGTTAAGTTACCGCGAGCGGGATCTTCACAAAAGACCGCGGTAACCAGCCAGGAGAGGTAAGGCGCCAAACAGAAGGATGGAACGGAGGTATGGAAACAGCCAACAGGGATATGTGCACAGATCAACGTGTTTCGTGCCAACTCTGGAACTTTATCAAGACAACTAAATGCTACACACCCAGGGTTTAAATACCTTATCTGGATGAGACCAGAGAATAAATAATAAAACCCGGACTGGATTTTCATAAGCAATTAATACAATAACAGAAAAAATATACATTCTAACACACTAGAAATAAATAAACAATAGTATTGATAACAATAGCAATTTCATACAAACATAAATTAATAAATATACATTCTTTAAAATGTACAATTACTTTCCAGATACATTCCATTTACATTATAAGCCTCTTATTAATAGAACAGGGACATAAAACCTCAATAAACAGGAGAATATTTCTGACACAATAATAGATTTCAGATATGCAAACATATAAACATATAGATATATCACTGAAGTATTATGTCACAATATCTAATATTCACAACAAAAAGCCCCTCAAGTGGTCCAGCATTGAAGTAAGAAATCACGACTACACCAGAGATCCTAAACAGCACTAATATACAAAATTACAACAACAAAATTAAAAGAGAAGTCTTATAAAATATAAATTGTATAGAAAATTGAAATCGAACCACAAAAAGGGGGAGGGAAAACAACCAAATAATTGGCAGCACGAGCTCGTTAGAATAATTTGAGCTCCTGATTCAGACCATTAGGTGTTTATGAATCTAGTTTAAAGATCCATAAAGACTCTGCCCTGGTAAGATCTCTCTTACTAATGGCAGTATCCCTCATTGGAGGTATATGATCAATCCCCATCACTTTAATCAGAGTGGGGTCACTATTGTGAAACATCTCAAAATGCTGTGCAACCGGAGATCTTATGTCCCTGTTTAATATGGCCAATCTATGCTCCCTAAATCTAGATTTTAGAGGTTTTGTGGTTTGACCAACATATTGTTGGCCACGAGGGCAAATAAAAAGACGTACAACAAAAGAGGTATTGCAGGTAATCTTATGAGCCACAACAAATGTTTCTTCACCCTTATAGGGTTTGAATGTGGACACTTTATGGCAAATTAACCCACATGTGAGACATCTATTTCGCCCACAACGCATATTATTGATACCATTCTTGTCGATGGCCCATCAGTATTCACACTCAATTTAGAGGGGGCCAACATATTTTTCAGATTAAGGGCTTTTCTAAATGTAATTTTAGGTCGTTCCGAAATACTGAAACATAACCATGGGTCCTTTTTGAGGATTGGCCAGTATTTAAAAATAATGTCTATGATTTCATCAAATCCCCTATTAAATGTAGGGGTAAACACAGGAGTAGAACCTACACCCACTTCTTTGGTGCTGATGTTAAACTTTGCCTTTCTCTTCTGCAGGAGATAATATTTACCTAAGAGGTCGAGAATTAGTTCATGGTCATTGGTATGTTGTGCCTATTCTAAATTCGACTCCTGAACAGATTGTAATTCCCCACGATTCAAATTAACAGATAGATCTATAAGGTCCTCTCTATTCATAGCTCCTGCCCTCAAATATGCTCTCCAAATATGCTCTGCAGGGTATGCTTTTTCCATAAAACAACGGCATAATAAGAGGGATTCTCTCTCATAATCCAACAAAGAGGAACAATTGCGCCTCAATCTAATAAATTGACCAGAGGCTATGTTATGAATCCATGTTGGATGGTGACCACTCTCCGCATGTAAATACCCATTGACATCAACATTTTTCTGATGTCTTGGTTGAGACCTTCCCTTAGGAACCGGTCAGGGTAAGGTCAAGAAAATCTATAGTGGATAAGTGTCTATGAGAAGTAAAGGCAAGTCCCCATTAAGGTAAGAGATAAAATCTTCTATTTCATCCCAGTCCCCCTTCCAAATAATAAGAATATCATCAATGAACCTGCCATAGAGGGCGAGCCGCCCCATCCAATGGGGGTTCTTCAAAATCATGATGTTCTCCCAGAACCCCATAAATAAGTTGGCATAGGAAGGGGCGAAACTCGCCCCCATCGAAGTCCCCTTGATTTGCAAATAAAAAACTTAATTAAATTGAAAATAATTATGCTTCAAAATAAATTCAGTAAACTTCAAAATATAATCAGCCTGTATTTCTGGAAGTAGTGGGTCAGAGGAAAGATAATGAGAAAGAGCTTTAAGACCAAGGGAGTGGTCAGTATTAGAATATAGGGACACTACATCTATGGTTATCCAACAATAATGATCCAACCACTCCACTTCCCTAACAAGGGACAAAACATATCCTGTATCTTTAATGAACGAAGGTGGGTTCGGGACATATCTCTGGAGATGAAAATCTACCCATTTAGAAATAGGGGAAATAAGGGAGCATAAACCAGAAATAATTGGACGGCCAGGTGGATGAGTCAGGGATTTATGGACCTTAGGCAGATGGTAGAAAATGGGAATATTACCTTGTGTCGCCAGAAAGAAGCCCATTTCTTTTTTATCAATATACCCATGGAAGAAGGCCTGTTCTATAAGGACTTTCAGTTCTTTTTCAAATACCCTAGTACGGGGCTTCCCAAACTTTTTTTATGGGCCGAGACCCACTTTTGAAAACGGTAATTTTTTGAGACCCACTTGCTTTTAATGCATATTTTAAAAATGAATAAACTTGGCACATCACGACAGCTTTAAAGGCATAAAACTGGTACATCATGGCAATCAGTTATAGAGGCATACAATTGGCACAACATGGAATTCATCTTTAAAAGCATACAATTGGCACACCATGACAATCAGCTTTAGAGGCATAACATTGGCACACCATGGCAATCCTTTTTAGATGCATAAAATTGGCACACCAGGAAAATCGGCTTTAGATGCATAAAATTGGCATATGGCAACTTTAGAGGAATAAAATTGTCACATAATGGAAATCCGCTTTAAAAGCATACAATTGGCACACCATGACAACCCGCTTTAGAAGCATAAACTAGGCACACCATGGCAATCAGTTTTTGATGCAAAGAAATGGCACATCATGGCAATCAGCTTTAGATGCATAAACTTGCCACATCATGGCAATCAGCTTTAGATGCATACAATTGGCACACCAGGACAATCCGCTTTAGATGCATAAAATTGGCACACCATGGCAACCCGCTTTAGATGCATAAAATTGGCACACCATGGCAACCCGCTTTAGATGCATAAAAATGGCACACCATGGCAATCAGCTTTAGAAGCATAAACTAGGCACACTATGGAAATCAGTTTTAGATGCATAAAAGTGGCACACTATGGCACTCAGTTTTAGAGGCATACAATTGGCACACCATGCAATCCGCTTTAGATGCATACAATTGGTACACCATGGCAACCCGCTTTAGATGCATAACAATGGCACACCATGGCAATCAGCTTTAGAAGCATAAAAGTGGCACACTATGGCAATCAGCTTTAGAAGCATAAACTAGGCACATCATGGCAATCCACTTTAGGGGCATACACTTGGCACACTATGGAAATCAGTTTTAGTTGCACAAAAGTGGCACACAATGGCAATTTTAGAGGCATACAATTGGCACACCATGGCATTCAGCTTTAGATGCATAAACTTGACTCATGGCAATCAATTTTAGATGCATAAACTTGGCACATTATGGCAATGAGTTTTAGATGCATAAACCTGGCATATCATGGCAGATTGAGAGGCATTGTTTTGGTATATTATGGCAGTTTTAGAGGCAGAAAATTGGCATATCATGGCATTTTTAGAGGCATAATTCTGGGATTTGGCAGTTTTAGAGGCTTAATTTTGATATATCATGGCAGTTTTAGTGGCAGAAACTTGGCATATCATGGCAATCTGTTTTAGAGGTATACAACAAGTTACCCACAGACTCAGGCAGAATCAGAAGCGCTGTGTTCCTCTCTTTCATCCAGACATCTCACGTTGAGTATCCCAGTGGTAGATCCCCATCTGTCGGAGAACTCCAACAATGCTATGCCAGCTGAGGATCTACCATTTGCCCACCGTTGCAGGGTTGTATTTGTGAGCAGTGTTTGAGCGTTTGAATGTAAGCATGTTTTTGTATGAAGTATATGTGTTGATGTATGGGTGTATTTGTATGTACTGTTGACATTGGAATGTAGTGCTGTACTTGTGTGTAGTGCTTGCATCTGAATGCAAGGGTATTTGTATGTAGTGATGCATTTTAAATACAGATGTGCTTTAATGTATAGTGTTGGTGTTTAAATGAAGGGCTGTTTATATATAATTTTAGTGTTTTAATACAGGGGTGTGTTTGTTGCGTTTGACTGCAGTACATGTGTAGTGGATGCAGTGTGTGTATATTGTGTATTTAAAAATATATAAAATGTGTGTTCGATTGTAAGCATGGAGTATGTGTGTGAATGTACATGTTTGAATGCAGGTATGCATTTGTGTGTAGTGTATACACTTCCACACACACTGAGACACATACTCATACAGTAACACACACGCATGCAAATACCCAGACTGACAAAGCAGTACACATGCAGACACACACAATGACACGTTACACACACTGACACAGATACACAGACACTCATGTACACAGACACACAAATACAGACACACACACACAGGGTAGGTAAGGGTGACAGTGTGGGGGGGAAGAGAGGGTGGCAGTGGAGGTGAGGGTGACAGTGTTGTGAGGGTGATAGTGTGGGGGGGTGAGGGTGACAGGGTGGAGGGGAGGTGAGGGTGATAGGGTGGGGAGGTGAGGGTGACAACAATGTGGGGAGGTGAGGGTGACAATGTGGGGGGGAGGTGAGGGTGACAATGTGGGGCGGTGAGGGTGACAATGTGGGAGTTGAGGGTGACAATATGGGGGGGAGGTGAGGGGGACAGTTTGGGAGGTGAGAGTGACAATGTGGGGAGGTGAGGGTGAAAGCCATTCAAATACCTTTTTCTGCAGTTGGTCTCTTCTCCTTCCTCCCTGGTGGTCCGGTGGCTCTTGCTGTCCTGTCTGCAGCTTCCCCTCCACCGCGGGCAGACCATGCAGACATAGTCTCACGAGCTCTGACAGTTACTGCATGGTCTGCCCGCGGCGGAGGGGAAGCTGCAGACCGGAAGGTGCGCAAGGATTTCTCCCCATTTCAGAGGAGCCCTGAACCCAGCGACACATATTGCAAGCCGCTGGGCACCCTCTTGGTGTCAGGCCCACCAGAGACCAGTGCGACCCACCAGAAATCAGCCGGCGACCCACAGTTTGGACCTTATAATAATCTTTATTCCCAAGTATGTTATGTGCTTCATCTATATAGCCCTTCCTGTTCAGTATAACAATGCCACATCCCTTATCAGCCCCTTTAATTATAAGATTATTGTTATTCTTTAAACTCTTAATGGCTAATAGGGGATATAATACCACTGCATGCTGTTTTATACAGAGCCTTTGTGTCGTGTGTAAGCAAAACAATATCAAGATATTCATAGTACAGATGAGAAAGTCACAGAAATGGGTCAAGAGCAGTAAAGTGACACAAATTAGTACTCTCTAGTGCTAGGCTAATTCCATGGTAATAAGCAAGGACTGGACATTCAGGTATTTTTCCTCATTTTAAGTGACTTGTTCCTCCCATCCCATCTCCCATGGATCCAAAATTTCCCCCATCTCATCCAGTCCTTTCCAGTCCTCACCATCCTCCCCTCTCAGAGCCCCAGATGTGAGGTTATGATTAAAGTAAAGTTTAATCATAGTTTACTTTTTTTGTGGGGATTGTCTTAAATCAAGCTGTATCATATGTGAGGGGACATCCTAAAGACTGTTCCCCATGTGTAAAGTTTTTGTCGGATAATCGAACAGTCCTGGCAACATACCCCCAGAGGTGATGGTTGGTACTGGGTAATTCGGTGGGGGGGGAATAAAGCAAGGAGGTCAATAGGTGCGGGACAGGGAGATCTGCCAAGTGTAGAATAGAGATGGAGCAGAATACAAAGAAAATAAAGAAGGGGGAAAAGGGGGGGGAAATGTGCCTGCACCTGTTCGCTGCCCCCGATTTGCTGCACCCCGAGGCTTACTTGACTTGTGTCTCGTCATCACGCACCTGGTCCCAGCCTATCCAGAGACCAAGTGGCTCCTGAAGTTGTCTGTGGACATGTGTTGTAGCCAGTAACACCAGCTCTGGATATATTTCCCCCTGTCTCTCGTTGTGATCACTTTCAGATTCTCAAATTTCTTTATGTGTTTTACCTCTTCAACCCACTTTCTGAGCTGGGGTGTACTAATCAGCCGCCAGAAGATAGGGATCACTGCTTTTGCAGCATTGAGAAGCATGGGAAAGAATTATCTTTTATATGTTGCTGTCCACATTGAGTTACAGTGCAGAAGGAATGTGGCATGTTCCAATGGGAAGAGGTCCTCCGTCATAACTCTAATTATTTGATTTATCACTTTATCAATGGTTTGAGCATTTGGCAGTTCCACCACATTTGTTAGAAAGTTAATTCCTCCCCCTATCTCCAGCAGGTGTCAGGTATCGAGTGGTCCTGCCTATAAAGGAGCTGCTGGGTCGACTACCTGGTCAGGGCCTTGTATGAATTCTCATGTAGACAGGCTGACACCGAGGCTTTCTGGATTTGGACAAGTATGTCATCCAATTCTCTGATCTGTGAACATGTTGCAGCATACCGTAAATCATTAAGAGGTTTCTGGTTTCTATTGTCTCCTGCAGGCATAGGTCTTCTCTTTTCAGGCATGGCTTTTGGGGTATCGATCTGGTGTACTGGACAATTTATTCCCATGCTAGGGAATGAAGGAATGTGCAGGTCTGTTCCCCGAAAAGATTGGTGAGTGGTCTAACTGAGAATGGGTTTGTGAGAACATCCATCATGCGTTGGAAGGAGATGTTCCGGAGCAAGTTTTGTATGGATAGCTGGTCACCTGCAGGGGAATCCAAGTTTCCCTTTAGCAGGAGTAGCGGACTAGACTCTGTGGAGAGATAGTAGCTGCTGCTTCAGTGCCGGACTGTTAAGGTAGCTTTGACGAATGGGTTGGTGGCGGCTCCTTGTTTCTGATTCATGCTGTCTGCTTCAAAGGCTATCTGAGGTTTGTCTGCTGCAGCGTTGGTCCAGCTGACTATCTTGGTGAAGTGTGCCACCATGAAATATTTTTCGAAGTCAGGGAGGGCTAGGCCTCATCGTAGTTTTGGGAGAGCGAGTGGTGAGTGTGCTATACGATGTCACCTTCCACTACAAATAAATGTGCGAACTTCATCCTGGACAGATTTGAAAAACATCAGTGTATCCCAGACCAGTACTGTCTGGAAGATAAACAATAATTCCGGTAGCAGCGTCATTTTGACGGCGTTCACCCTGCCCACCCACGAGATATAGCTTGTATTCCAGGCGCACAGGTACTCTCTCCTTCTTTCAAGGCATGGAAGAAAGTTTTGGTCATATAAATCCAAAGGGTCTGAGGTGAGTCACAACCCCAAGTATCTCATGCGGGAGTCACACCATCGAAAAGGGAAACGCTCTGTTAAGGACTGATGGTATGTGCGACTGACCAATGTTTTCAGAAATTCAGATTTCGAGTAATTGATTTGAAGATTAGAGATATGCCCATAAGTCAAGCACTGCTTATTTGTATTATGCTACTGTTCTCAAGTAAAATGATACCCACATGTATATGTTTGCCCCTAGTCCTGCCCAAATCTCTTGCCTAATCCAATCCCTAATCTAACCACTAATCCAATCCCTAATCTAACCCTTAATGCAACCTATAGTCCTTCCCATAATATAACCTCTTCGCCTACTCCTAATCCTACCCATAATTCTACTCATAATCCTCCATATAATTCCAGTCCTAATCCTACCCTCTAATCCCTCTTCTCCAGGGATTTCCTATCTCTGTGATCCCTCTGTGCTGTGTGATTGCAGCATTAGAGGAAGTGCTCACTCTCATACAGCACTTGCCACACAAAAAGACTGGTGCTGGGGAGCTGGCAGAGCCCAGCACCGATCCTACAGGGACAAGCAGAGAGACCTCATGAGAGTCCTGGCGGTGTCCCTGAGACTTGGGGAGGTCTGTGCAAGGCTATGGGGGAGCAATTTTTTTAATGAAAATTACCACTGAAGCGCTAATTGCAGCATTTAAAGGGATTTCAAGGGCTATGAGCAGCACTCACTTTGGGAACTGCTCACAGCTCTCCTGTCAGCCTGGAGCCACTAACTGTGACCCCAACTGACAGACGGGGCCTCCAGGTAACAAAAACAGAAAATGCAATAGTGAATACAGTATGAAGGGAAACTATAGGTGCTGAACGGAGTTACACTTACAGAATGCAGACTGGTAAAATCGCCTTGGGCTGTCTACCCTTAGAATGAAGGGGGGCTATTTCAGGACGTTCTGCATTTTCTGGGGGGTAGATCTTTGTATCCTCTGTATTTGATTGGTTGTATTGCTGTAAAAAAGGATATTTTAGAGGAAGTTGTTTATATTTTAAATAAGATAAATTGTTTTAACCACACAAAACACAGATCGGTGAGGGTGTGTTTTGTTGTGTTTTGTGTGCATATTTATCAAAAGAAATCTGGGTGCCCTTGGTACCAGCAGTGATTAAACCCCTGCTAGTGCATTTACTGCATCACGGTCTATGCCACCACTAGGTGTTAGAGTCCTGCACTGTATGATGGCATAGACCGTCATGTGATCTTTAAAGGAACACTATAGTCCCCTAAACTACTTTAGCTAAATAAAGCTGTTTTAGTGTATAGATCATTCCCCTGCAATTTCACTGCTCAATTCACTGTCATTTAGGAGTTAAATCACTTTGTTTCTGTTTATGCAGCCCTAGCCACACCTCCCCTAGCTATGATTGACAGAGCCTGCATGAAAAAAAAAACTGGTTTCACTTTCAAACAGATGTAATTTACCTTAAATAATTGTATCTCAATCTCTAAATTGAACTTTAATCACATACAGGAGGCTCTTGCAGGGTCTAGCAAGCTATTAACATAGCAGGGGATAAGAAAATCTTAATTAAACAGAACTTGCAATAAAGAAAGCCTAAATAGGGCTCTCTTTCCAGGAAGTGTTTATGGAAGGCTGTGCAAGTCACATGCAGGGAGGTGTGACTAGGGTTCATAAACAAAGGGATTTAACTCTTAAATGGCAGAGGATTGAGCAGTGAGGCTGCAGGGGCATGTTCTATACACCAAAACTGCTTCATTAAGCTAAAGTTGTTCAGGTGACTATAGTGTCCCTTTAAGTGGTGAAATCTTAAAACTTCTTTAACTCCACTATAGTCACTACATGTGTATGTGATGTGTGTGTTCATGTGATGTGTGCTGGCTATATGTGATATGTGTCTGTGTGGTGTGTGCTGGCTGTGTGTGATGTGTGGTGTGTGATGGCTATATGTGATGTGTGTGTACATGTGGTGTGTGCTGGCTGTGTGTGATGTGTGTGATGGGTGTGATGGGTCTCTGTTTCACCTCTCCCTCCTACTTAGCATTCTGTAGGGAGTGAGACTATGGTTGCTGGGAGTCCAGACCTGCCTTGAGATAGAGTTTAATTCTTTGCTCACTGACAGAAAAAGGGAGGGTGGCGAGAGAAGAGTGAAAAGCTGGTGGGAGAGAGAATGGCGAGGAGATGAAGTTGTTTTGAGGGAAGATAAACTCTGTAATAAAGAAGAGAGAAAATAAAGAAATGAACAAAGAGAAATAAAATGAGGTTTAAACAGTAAGGATGAGATGAGAGTAAAGTAAATGTAATTGTGTATAGTAAAGGTGTGATATAACGGCCTATTCTGTATGACTCTGTTATCTAACGGAATAAGGTCCAACTAGGGCAATTCATGGGCAAAGAGCTGGGATTGGAGTAATTACTAAATATCTGTGATTATTGTACTGGATGTCGCTTATTATTGGACAATGCTTCAGGGTGACATTGTTAACTGTGACCGATACTGTTTGATTTGGAATGGTGAATGTTTATATAATGTAATATATTTATTTATTTATTTGTAATTTGTTTTTGTTTTTTCAGAGCACAAAGAAAAGAATTGCCAGAGCTACATGCAAATGTATATGTTGTTATCTCGACAGAAATAATAAGTGTCGCAAGAGATCAGGGTGTCTGGGTGTATCAAGTGTAAATTAAATCTGTAAAAATATATAAGAACATAATAAACTAAAAACACATGCAAAATAGCACAACAAATAGTATGCTCCCCTTAAAATCAATATTACTTAAACATCAAATCAGCTGCTATACACGTTAAGATTATTCCCCAATTCTCAAAGAACAAAGTACATACATATGCGGGTTAGCGCTTAGCGAATGGTCCCCTGAAGCCATAATCTGGGGTGACACTATTAATATTACAGTCCGCTATAGTTAGAGTTCAGAATACTTCATCCACCCTCTCAGTTGTGCTCTGTGTGTCAGGGGAGCCGGGTAATAAATATCCACAATTCAATGTATCCGATTGTCAGTCTGCTTTTTTTTTTTTTTTTATAATTCTTTATTTTATACATTTTTCATTACATAAATATTTTTCATACACTTTATGTAAATTGTGCAAAATCAGTGACTAATATGCGTGTAAATACTTTTTTTTTTCCTTTTCTTTTTACAAGTTAACAATTATTTATAATTAACAAAGTACAAACAATTAATTTGATTTGTATTAAAGACAATACATTAAAATTATACATTCAGCAATTACCCAAGGTCCTTATCGGAGGGGAGGGGGGAGGGGGAGACAACGTAATTTTTCAATCTAGTATAAGTTTGCATTATTCTCCTTGAAATATTTGCAGGGCCAAAGCTTCAGATATTTAGCATATTGAGATTGGTCTAAATGAAAAGAAGCATCCATTCTATGTTGGTAATCTATTTATTGCAAAATTTCTGTCCAACTTAAACCACAGTTAGATTTCCATGCAGTACAAATTTTTACTGCTAACAGGTAGCAAAATATTAAAAAGAAAGATCCAAGGAGTTAGATCAAAGATAATTCCCAGTAGAGACTTAAGAAAATTCTGTATGGACTTTATAGTTTTTCTAGCACACGACAGTCCCACCAGATATGTAAGAAGGAACCCACGTTTGATTCGCATCTCCAACACATTTGTGATATATTGGAGTAACGTTTTTGAAGTCTAACTGGAACTAGGTACCAGCGTAAAGTTATTTTGTACTGAGTTTATATTAGAATCATACTGTGAACATTTTTCCTAACAATCATCAAACCCTCCAACCATTCCTCATATTGCAATTCAACATCTGTAGAATATTGCATATTCTATGTTTCTATTGATTATATATATGGATGTGTGGATTGACATAAGTAACAGATGGTATCAATAAGTCACAAGGCTTTCTTTGTCCGAGAGCTCTGGAATGTGGATGTGGGGGTTTTGTCCTTATATGGCTAGAGTTAAATGCTGACGTTAGTATGAGCACATCTATATAGTAACAGAGGGGCATGAGGTCGCTCTCTTGGCTCGGTCTTGGCTCGTGGCTCTCGGTCTTGGCTCTTGGCTCTGTACAACAATGTAACTCTCCCATCAGAAGTACAGCAATTACCATCTGCTGTTGAATGTCCATTATCCTGTAACATCATTTGTTGTTTTATTATGTATCCGTAACAAAGAATAAACCTGAAGAAACCGTAAGTCAGATTGCGTATTACTACTTTTCAATAATATAGATATATATTATTGTGGAGAGCATTTGGCCCAAGACTATATATACAAAAGACGTATATATATCAATCAACTGAAGACAAGAAGAGATTAAGAGAATCAACATTTAACACCGTTCCAAATTAGATTTTACAACATCCATCTCCTTTTCCCATCTAATCCATGGAGAAATGTTTTCTTGTGGTTGGAATGGGGGGGGGGGGATTGGAAACCCTAGAGGTGATCTTGTGTTTGTGATGTTTATCAAAAAATCGATTACAGGGTTATCTGTTACAATGTTTTGTTTTTTTAAATACATTTTTCAATCTGGAGCAAATCAAAAGATAACAAGAGCCCCTTTGGTGCTAGATCTTTTAGAGTTTTGATGCGCTTTTCTCTCTACCTTAACAAACTAATGTCACCTTTATCTAGTTAAATACTTTCTAATGGCATATTACGCAAGAGGGAATTTCGTAAACCCAGCCCTGTAATCTTTAAATTATAAAAAAAATGTGTAAACATCTCCAATTATCGGGCTATGAATAAAGAAAGTTCTACTTCCTTTCACCTTAGGGTCCATATTGGACCAGCGTAGACAAAGAGGTTCTAGGTTCCCTAAATCTTGTTTTTCAATCTCCAGCCAAATGGGTCTGGAGGTTGATATATTGTCCCAGGCAAAAGCATGCGCAAACATATTGTTTTTATACAAAGAAAATATGTTAGGAAATGATAACACCGCCCATTTTTAAATCCCTAAATAAAGTATCTGAGGAAATTCTAGATTTCTTGGAAACTTTACATTCCAGTATTCTAATAGTGATATCCTTGATTTCTTTATCTTGTCTAATCTGGTTAGCTAACGGTTCCATTGGCATGATATACAAGAGAGGAGCGAGAGGACAACCCTGCCTGGTTCCGTTTCGAATTTTAAACCACTCTGACAACAGCATATATCCCGCCATCCTAGCTGTGGGGCAAGTGTACAAAAGCATAACACTCTTCCTAAATGCGCCCCTGATGCTGAAAGCTCCCAGAACCCAGTGGCAGATCCGGGGGGGGGCAACGGGGCAATTGCCCCCCCGAGATTCTCCCCTGCTGGCTAATGCAGGGCTGGCATTGTCCAATGGAGGAAGAGAGAGAGGACCCGGGAGCTCTTACCTGCAGCTCCTCCGGGTCCTACTCTCGCGAGCACAGAGCGTTGCCGCGGTTACCACAGCAATGCTCCAAATCTCACGAGAGTGAACTCTAGCCCTGGAGCTACAGGCTAGAGTTCACTCTCACCACTAGGACCACCAGGGATTCCACACCGGACCACCAGGGATTGAGAATATATAAATTAATTAATTTTATTAAATAAAAAAATAATTAAAAAGCCTCCCTACCCTCCTTCCCCACATACAAAAACTGCCCCCCATATACACACTGCCCCACAAACACTGCCCCCATACACACACTACACACCCATACAAACACTGCCTCCCAAACACACACTACAGACACTGCCCCACAAACACTGCCTCCATACACACACTACACACACTGCCCCACAAACACTGCCCCATACACACACTACACACACTGCCCCACAAACACTGCCCCCCATACATACACTGCACACCCATACACATACTGCCCCACAAACACTGCCCCCATACACACACTGCCCCACAAACACTGTCCCCATACACACACTGCCCCACACAACACTGTCCCCCATACACACACTACACAAACACTGCACCACACAAACACACACACACACACACCACCACAAACACTGCCATACACACACTACACACACTGCCCCACAAACATTGCCCCCATACACACTGCCCCACAAACACTGCCCCCATACACACCCTGCCCCACAAACACTGCCACCATTACACATTGCCCCCATACACACACTGCCCCACAAACACTGCCCCCATACACACACTACACACACTGCCCGATAAACACTGCCCCCCATACACACACTGCACACCCATATACACACCGCCCCACAAACACTGCCCCCATACACACACTGCACACCCATGGGGGCCCCACAAACACTGCCCCCAGACACACACTGCCCCACAAACACTGCCCTCATACACACACTGCACACCCATACAGACACTGCCCCACAAACACTGCCCCCCATACACACACTGCACACCCATACACACTGCTCCCATACACACACTGCACACCCATACACTCACTGCCCCCCTTACACAAACTACACATACTGCCCTACAAACACTGCCCCCATACACACACTCCCCCAAACACACACACACTGCAACTCTCACACAAACTGCCACCCTCACACACACACACACTGCAGCTCTCTCACACACACACTGCCCCACACATACACTGCCCCCTAACACACATACTGCAACCCTGACATACACTGCCACCTTCATGCACTCGCACACACACTTCACCACACACACACACACACACACACACACACACTGTACCTTTCACACACACTTCACCCCTAACACATACCACTGCTCCTATGCTCTATATCCCAGCAGACCCCAGGTAAGTTGTCAAACTGTTTTTAAACGGTTTGATTACTTACTCTGGGATGGGATCGTGGCACTACTGGCACCATAACTACTACACTGAACTGTAGTAGTTATTGTGCCTGGATTATTTCTCTAAATAATCTACAGTTGCCCCTCCTGAGATCAGGCTCTGGATCCGCCACTGCCGGAACTTCATCCAAAAAACGCCAGTTCACCCGGTCAAAAGCTTTTTCGGCATCTAGGGCCATCATGGTCGAATCCCCCTCTTGTTGGTTTATATGAAATATAATATTTATCACTTTGCTAGTGTTCGCGTTCATGCACCTGCCCTTTATAAATCCACATTGTTCTAAATGAACCAAATCAGTAAGAACTTCTCTCCATCTTTCGGCCAAAATTTTAGAATAGTGTTTAATATCCAAATTAATGAGAGATATTGGGCGATAGTTTGAAATAGAGGTGGGATCCTTATTAACCTTAGGTATTGGATTGATTGTTGCTTGTAGTATTTCAGATGTAATGACATTACTAGTCACACACTGATGGTATGTTCTTAATAGTAAAGATGAAAGTAAACTTTCAAATTCTAAAAAAAACCAGCAGAGTACCTGTCTGGCCCTGGTGATTTGTCCGATTTTAGTGATTTAATGCAATTTTATTTTTTTTATGTCCAATAATGATATTGGTTTATGTAAAAAGTCTCATTTGACGGGCGAGATTTTAAGAAGTTTAAGATTATTAAGAAATTTAGATATTTCGATTTTAGAAAATCTGTGATCTTCTAGATTATATAAAGATCTGTAATAGTCCCCAAAGGCCTGATTGATCTGTCTGGGGGTTAAGAGTTGTTTTCCCTAAGACTACTATTTTTTTTATTATATCAACACTTATCTTATTCTTTAACTTTCTTATTAACATTTTACTAGATCGATTGGCAGCATGA